CACTTTCTGGAGAGTTTTTATCATAAATGGATGTTGTCAAAAGTTTTTCTCTTTCTATTGAGATGATCATATGGTTTTTATTCTTCAGTTTGTTAATGTGATGTATCACACTGATTGGTCTGAAGATACTAAAAACTCCTTGCATCCCTGAGATAAGTGCCACTTGATCATGATGTATGATCCTTTGAATATACTTTTGGATTTGGTTTGCTAATATTTCATTGTGAATTTCTACATCTATGTTCATCACTGATATTGGCCTGTAATTTTTTTTGTGTGGTATCTTTGTTTGGTTTTATCATCCAGGTGATTCTGGCCTCAAAGAATGAGTTCAGAAATATTTCTTCCTGTGCAGTTTTTTGGAATAATTTGAGAGGGGTAGGTGTAAGTCTTTTCTAAACGTTTGGTAGAATTCGCCTGTGAAGCCATCTGTTCCTGGACTTCTGTGTGTTGGGAGTTTTTAAATGACTGATTCAGTTTCAGTGCCAGTAATTGGTCTGTTCATATTTTTTATTTCTTCCTAGTTCAGTCTTGAGAGATTGTACCTTTCTAAGAATTTGTCTATTTCTTTTGTGCATTTTATTGCAGACAACTAACTGTTCATAGCAATCTGTTATGATCCTTTGTTTTCTGTGGTGTCAGACGTAGCCTTTTCATTTCTGATTTTATTGATTTGGGCCCTCTCCCTTTCTTTCTTGATGAGTCTGGCTAAAGGTTTCTCAATTTTGTTTATCTTTTCAAAGAACCATCTTGTATCATCATTGATCTTTTCTCATCTTTTTTAGTCTCTATTTCATTTATTTTTGCTCTGATCCTTGTTTTTTTTTCCTTCTACTAACTTTGGGTTTTGTTTATTCTTTTTCTAATTCCTTTAGGTGTAAAGTTAGGTTGTTTATTTGAGCTTTTTCTTGTTTCCTGAGGTAAGTTTGTATTGCCATAAATTTCCCTCTTAGAACTGCTTTTGCTGTGTCCCAGAGGTTTTGGGTCACTGTGTTTTCATTTTCATTGGCCTCTAGGTATTTTCTGATTTCCTCTTTGATTTTTTCAGTGATCCATTGGTTGTTCAGTAGCATACTGGTTAGCCTCCATGCGTTTGTACTTTTGCAGTTTTTTTTTCTTGTAGTTGATTTCTTGTCTTGTAGCATCATGGCTGGAAAAGATGCCTGATATGATTTCATTTTTCTTAAATTCACTGAGGCCTGTTTTGTGGTCTAGCATGCGGTCTATCCTGGTGAACGTTCCTTATGCACTTGAAAAGGATGTGTATTGTGCTGCTTTTGGTTGGAATGCTCTCTATGTATCAATTAAGTCCATCTGGTCTAATGTGTCATTTAAGGCCAGTCCTTCCTTATTGACCTTCTATCTGGATGAGCTGTCCATTGATATGAGTCTCCTACTATTACTGTGTTACTGTTGATTTCTCCTTTTATGTCCATTAATGTTTGCCTTACATATTGAGGTGCTTCTAAATTGGGTACATATAGATTTATATTTTCTTCTTGGATTGATCCCTTGGTCATTATGTAGTATCTTGCTTTGTCTCTTATAACAGTCTTTATTTTAAAACCTATTTTGTTTGATATAAGTATTACTTATTCCAGCTCTCTTTTGATTTCCATTAGCATAGAATACATTTTCCCATCTTCTCACTGTCGATCTGTATCTGTCTCTAGATTTGAAGTGAGTCTCTTTTAGGCAGCATATATATGGATGGGTCTTGTTCACATCCATTCAGCCACTCTGTGTCATTTGGTGGAGTATTAGTCCATTTACATTTAAGGTAATTATTAATGTGTATGTTCTTATTGCCATTTTTAAACTGTTTTGTCTTATTTTTGTAGGTCTTTCCCCCCCTTTCTTCTTCTTTTGTTCTTTCCTCTTGTGATTTGATGACTATTAATTTCTATATTTGCATCAAAAAGAAAAGAAAAATTAAATTCTTATATCAAACTAATGCCCCCTTGCCAAAGGAACATCGGTCTGGACCACGGTGGCCCTCTAGTGACTGTTCAAGGTGATGAGCACACAAGTGCTGCGTTCCTGCCACTCTGAGGCCCTGGGGTACGACGACTTTGTCCCTTAGTCCTACTGTCAAGGGGCAATTTGTCCAGTACTACCAGCCTTATGTATGGTGCCCACTCTTTTCAAAAATAAATCATGGTGAAATTTCTGAAATAATTTCAGTTATATTTCCCCCTGTTTGCTTAGAACTGATCTTAAGTATCAGTCCAGGAAGACGGTATCACACCCACATATTTGAAAAAGTAGTATCTTTCAATAACAGAGAAGCCAGTTGCCTATAAATCAATAAACCACTAAATTTTTCTATTTTACATTATCAGTGAATAATAAAAAACATCTGATACCTGGATAGAATTTTCTTAAAAGTGATCACCAACAAGCCTTGATAACAAACCTTCCTGAAAGGAGACCTGACTGTTTTGCTATCACTAGGATATTAAGCACATTATTCTTTAGACCAAAAGTCCTCAAGCGAAAAGGGAAGGAATGTAAATCAGAAAATGGCATCAGAAACAGACAGCAAGAAACCTGCAGTTTATGCACTCACTTCTACATCAAACTTTGACATATTTCAAAATGAGCTTCTTAAGTAGCAACACTGGACATATGTATGTACACATGTGTTCACATATGTAATCTTTCAGCTTTTACTGCTAGATCTCAAGTTATAGCACAGCCAATATTTCACTAATAAATACAGCTAAATTCTCATTTCTGGAAAGCCTCTGTGACTCCTTTAATACAGTAGCTCATAAACATCTACTAGCCACATTTCTATTTGTTTTAAAAATTTCCTTTTCCTCGAACATTGCTTGCATAATGTTATACTGAGCTGTTAAACATTTACAGATCGTGCCAAGAGTCTCAACATCATACACCACATATACCACAACATCATATACAGTAGTTTCACCAGCTTCCCAGAAACACCTTTAACCGAGTGCACTTCTAAGAAACAAGACATAATTAGGAATGAGGTAAGGGTGAGCATACATAAAACCAAGTCACGATAACACCTTAAAGAAATCACTTTGCCCTCTCTGAAACATTTTTCCTTTACTCTTTATACATTTTATGTTTCAGAAATTTAAAGTAAGACAAAAGAAAGCAGAAATTAGTGCACCAAGTGTATTCTATTATTTTAATTCACCTCTAAGCAAATTTACTTTCCTTTTAACTTTGATCCAGAATTCAAAAAAGAAAGAAAAAAAAGCAAGTAGGTGTTAACATACCTGTCATAGCCCAGGGGTTGAGGAGAATGACCATTAAATTTGGGACTGCTTCTAGAAATTGTATTCCCTGGCGATACATTATTTATGCGCTGTAATGCATAAAATACATAAGTAATATTTCGTTATTCCATGTGAACATTTTATATACATTTTAAAAAGCTGCTAGTTTACGAATGTAATTAAAAGTCTGGTATCCTACATGAGAAAACATAAGCACAAAAATCAAGGGAGAAATTGCAACGGTAGTTTCTCGTCATCATGCCATATAAGGCATAGTGGGGCACCCTGGTTCCCCCTTCTTTGGATTTGTCTCTTTTTGAACTATAGTTTGGCTTAGTGACTAACTTCTCCATACGCAAAGCTGTGGCACTGAAACCCCAAACTTGAAGCTGATTTCCAAGTGGGAGAAGAGGCTTTCCAGCACACGTAGTCTGAGGAAGGTCCTCAGAGTTCCAAAAGGGCGTTAGCTTGTTTCTGTTGGAGGGTTTAAAGCCCAAGGCCTCCACTCTGACGGTCTCACTACCACAAAGAATACCCAATGGGTCTAAATAAACTCCTCAGCCAGAAATACCCTACCTTTCCTCTCAACTGGGCAACATTTTATTTGTACCTCCAGGAGATTTCCCACTTTTTCTTCTATTACTGCTCTCCATGCATATCCTAGCTCCCTACTACACTATAAACTCTTCCAGGACCCAGGTCCGACCTTATACATCTTTGTCTCATTTTCTGGAACAGCAAACAAAGAGCTGGCTAACATCTAGACATTTATTTATACAGAGGAGTGGCATTTTCTCTAATTTCGGAAAATGTTGTCTCCTTTTACTATGTAAAATAGTTTCTCATTATTATAAGCTCTCTTCTAAGAAAATACATGATTTTTATCAAAATACTCTACCACAAGAAAGAACAAAGTGTATTATAAAGTTCTATTGCATACCAAGGATCTGTTGAACTTGCTGTAACTGTTTTCAAGGGCACTCCTTAGGCCGTCGTTACTGTCATGCAGTTTCCTGTTAGCTGATCTACAGAGTAAATAAACACAATAAACAAGCAGATAAGGGAAGTATTAGTGGGGGTAAATGTCACCACCTTGTTTTCAAGCTGTGATGTTCAGAATGTGGAGTGACCACCTCTTGCAACTTTCTCCCTCTTCCCCCTTCAAACCTCACAAACTGAGATCATAATTCATTACTAGAAGTGCAACTTAATCAATGTATCATTTCCCTTCAAAGGTCTCAAGGCATTTAAGAAGCAGATCAGCTATGCTGTGGAACCCACTTCTCCCTCAGATAGCTCCGTTGTTTGGATGGGTTTGGTGCAGGTCTCTGTTCCCTAAAGGCCTGAAGACAGCCGGCTCCACCTGCTCTCAATGCCCCACTCCGCACGCGGCCCTGCTAGGTGCAGATGCGCTGTGTTATGTCACATTTCTTCCTCCTGGCTATGCTACATCCCACTCGTGGCCAGGTGCCGTACCAACAGGCACTGCTGTGTACCAGCTGAAGACTCTGATGTTGACTCAGGGTTCAAACCCCAACTCAGGCACTTACTTTCCATGTGCCTTATGGAAGTCATTTAGGCTGTCAGAGCCTCAGCAACTTCTACGAAATGAGGATAATAAAAGAGCCTTTGCCTTAGAGATTGGCTAATCTTTCCCTGCTTCAGGCTCATTCATCTTCCAGACCTCAGCTCAGTTCTCACTTCCTTCAGGAACACTTCCTGGACCTTTCTGTTTAGGTAGATGCCCTTAGGAGACACATGTCTCCCCTGCCCCTCCTTCTCTCCTTTGGCATTTTATATTTCTTCCTCTAAGTATTAATCAGGCTCCATCTTCTTCCCCTAGACTAGCCCCATAAGGAGAAAGACTTTTTCCTCCTACTTGCTGCTCTATCCTCAGCTCCTGGCATACCTGAACCACAAAAGGTGCTGAGTGAAAACCTGCTGAATGAATGAATGAAGAGGACTCTTGTAATATAACAGCTCTGTCATTGCCACAGGTGAGACTTGATAGGTATTCAAAATGATGAAAATAAAAAAAAGGTCAAGCCTGACCTGACATCATCTGGGGGAACTGAAACCAGAAAAAAATATTGCCTGGGTAGAAAAGAAAGAAAGGGGCAGTGGGAAGGGTGGAGATTTTGTGGGGAAGGGCTCAGAGGATGGAATTCGTGCAACTTAGTTGCAAAGTAATGTAATATTTCTAAGAGGTTAAAAAAAAAAGAAAAATATATCGCTAACCAGGCACAATAAGGAAAGAAAGATAGTGTACGCCCAGTGGCAGGACGTGCACTACTGTGCGATGCCTGAAACCTTTTGGGGTGTTGAGCTGCAGAGAAAACTGCTAAGGTCGGGGCCGCCATTCTTTACAGTCCAGTAAAGGTATTATGAAGATGCGTCGGACAAATCCCCTGACTTGCAAGGGCTTTTAGAGAATTATACTCTAGTCCCTGGATTTGAATAGTTTATGTAGGATTAGAAGCGTCAGAAAGCTAAGGTGATGTGCTGAATGCTTCTCACTGAGAAGGAACAAGCGGGGATCTGTGAACCTGGCCTTTCAAATACGGCAACTCATGTTACATGTGGCACGTGTTTTACTGACAAAATAGAAGTTACATGTAAATGTGATGAGCATTTTATATGAGAACTTACTGGAGTATTTCAATTTGCCTCTCAAGACTACTTCGATCTTCTGTGTACTCTCGGATTATTTCCAGATCCCTGTAAAATTATATTTTATGTTTGAATGAGGATTATGTGTTCAGTGCTATCTTACCTATACCTACCCTCCCAGACCCCTTTCCACCTTTCCCAAAGTCCTGCGTCCTTGACCACAGTTTCCTGTCTCTCTGTGCTCCTGCTCAGTTCCTGAGCCATTAGCAGCCTCCTCTCCTCCTGTGACCCATGAGCATACCCACACCCTCTGCATCCTCCAATGCTCTGGTGCACCGGATCCCCCTGGCAGCATCTACCAGCTCCTCCACCCCAGCCCACCAGCTCGGCTCTGTCCCCCACTGGGACTAAACCCCTCGACCTTCAGCAAAGTCCCCTCTCGCTGGACACTCACATTACCAGTCGCTTCAACCCAATGCACTCTCTCACCTCTGACACTTTGCTTCTCATTCCAAGCCTTATATAACCCCAACCCCAGCTCTCTTCTCCTTTCTTGTGATTCCATCTCATCTCCGTGCTCCTAGTCCTGCACCCACCCCTCCCCACCCTGAAACCACACAGGAATCCATAGGACCAGGCTTCCTCTGTTCATTGTAAACTCACGCTCAGCGATTCCTCTGTTGCTTTATAATGAAGAAGCCCTGGCCTCCTTCTTAAAATGCTCATGCAGAACATCAGCCACTTACCTCCAGCCCCTATCCCACCCCAGCCCCATTTCTAAGCAGAGAGACCCTATCCGCTTCCAAAAGTCCTCAGCCTGTCCAATTTTGTCCATAATAACCTGTCCAGTTACTCTCTTGATAAGGCTAAAAGTCTCCCAATTGTCTGTAGGAATTTAAGTTCTTTAGCCAAAAATTCTGGGTCTTCATATTACAGCCTTAAAATAGCTCTTAAACTCAAAAAATTTTTTTTTAACTTTTGCCTTTCCATTCAAAATATGTTTTTCTCTTCCCTGGTCTGACTATCGTTCCCCAAACCAGTTTCTTCCTTCCCTGTGTTTTGCCCCTGCTTTGGGTTTTGCCTCACCTGGAACAACTCTGAGACTCTCTCCCCATCTGTGAAATGGGGATAAGGAGAGTCCCATCTCATAGGAAACCCTGAATGAGTTGATGCTGGGCAAGTTCTCAGGACATGCCCGATAACTGTCAGTGTGACGGCGCTGCTTGCTGACGTCGCCTCTGCTCCCCAACACAGGCTCTCCCCTCACAAGCCCACCTCACGTGCCTCTTCTTCAATAACGTCTCCACCTCTTCTGAACTAAAAGAAGGCTCTGTCTACCATCTCAGGGCAATGAACCCAACCTTGGTGTTCATGGAATTACGGTGTTGTTTCTGACGTTGTGGAGTTCATGTGTTGTTTAACTCTGTAATCTTTTAGACTTTCATTTTTCCCAACTAAATTTGAAATTCTTAAAGAGCAGAGACCACATCTTTTCTTTTTTTATATACTGCACACTCATAACTCCTTATCTAGCTCAGGGACCTATGTATAGTAGGTGCTTAATAAATGTTCTACTGCTTTCTATTATACTACATTTTTTTTTAACAGGACCTTAATTCTGATTAAAGTTTGCAAACAAATCACAAGGTATTTTCCCCCAACTGTACATGTACTAGGGGATACACACACATACTAACGCATTTTATGTTTACATAGTCCTATATAAATATCCATGTCTATCTTTCTTATATATAATTACATACCTCTTTGTGTACATGTGTGTGTTAGGTTTTATGTTATCTGCAAAACTAAAGCATAGCAAAATAGAACGACTTGCCGAAGACTTGCAGTTTTCCATTTTTTTATGTTATAGGGCTAGGATTCCCACCTTCAAAGCACTTCAGTTAGCATGGCCTCTTGACACTTTATGTATAGTCTTCTGCTCCCAGTTAATGCAGACATTTTTAAGCCCTCACTGTCCTGCACAGCCAATAATTAAACTAATTAATCCATTTGTT